TTTTTTTTTTTTTTTTTTTTTTTTTTTCCAAACACCTTCACTGACCCGAACTGAACCACCGAAAAATTGTTTTTATTTTTATTTTTTTTTGGCTTGAGGCGGTGGGGCTGGGGTTGCGCCGCCCTATGGCGTTCCCGAATCCCCAAACCTCCTCCCCACCGGCCGCCATGCGTCCGCGAAGTCGCGCGGCCGCGCGGACGCGTCCGCGGGGTCGGCGGCCTGGCCGCGTCCGTGGATTCGACCGCCCTTGGCCGCCGCCGAGGGGGATTCGTAGGTGTACACACCCTGGAAACACATTACAAAATGGAAATAAGTAAATAAAATTATTGCCAAAAAAAAACCGTTGTATTTGTGTGTACAGTGGGCTTCCGAAAAGGTGTTTCAAATGCATTTGAAAACATTTTTTGTGACCACCGCACACTTACCCCAGGGGCCAAGTCTTAATCTTTCAAGCTCACATTTCAGTGACCGTTCACAACGTCTCAGACAACATTCTGGTGGGTTGGAGGCAGGGGGGGGGGGGGAGAGAGAGAGAGAGAGAGAGAGCATTAGGAATCATTTGGTCTTACTCACGTGGATTTAAACTCCGGTCTGTATTTCAACAGTTCATGCGTTATGGGCGTACGCACTGAGCTAGGCTCGTGGGTAGGCCCTGAAGATGTCTGAGCCACAGAAACAGTCTTTTCTTTTTCCTTTCACCCCACAGAGTATTAACACCAACGATCAGGATAGCTTTACCCCCCATAATTATCAGGCCCAGCAAGGCCTGTATGAGTTGTGTGGATTGTAATTTGTACGGATCTGTCCTACATTGGTAGAGTTGCCTCCACTCGCACCCTTCTGATGCAACTCATGCTCGTAGATTACTGATCTAACACACACACACACACACACACACACACACACACACACACAGAGAGAGAGAGAGAGAGAGAGAGAGAGAGAGAGAGAGAGAGAGAGCATTAGGAAAAACTCTACGGTTAGTATCATCCTCGCTCTTTCCGGCCCCCAGATCCTCTCTGACGCGAAAAAAGCAATAGTAAAGGGTTTGTCGGAAAAATATGCTGTTCTGCCGTCATCTCGTTGAGCTGGTCTTCTTTCCGCAGTCATGGAGTCTTGGACGGGATACTGGACATGGTATGCTTCCAGCCAGGCGTGTATCTTCTGTAATTACTTGTGGGAGAATAAACCCAGTTTTTCTGGCAGTGCAGCTCCCGAATCATAGATCGGAATCATGGAAGCATAATCAACTCAGGAACAAACAAACAAACAAACAAAACAAACATAGAAAAGCTGAAAGAAAGCAAGAGGTACAAAAGTCAAAAAAGGACAAAGAAACAGAGATGCAGAGAGGCACAGGAGCATCTGAGAAGTGGTTGTAGCCATCCCTCCGGAAGAGGGAGGGGCCAATAATTTTGTCCATCTCCTTCCTGAGCAATGATTGTTTTCAAAGTCGACTTTTAGAGTTCAAATTTCACAGTGCACACTTCATATGTACCCCATGCCGGCGAAGCCGCCATGCGCTGCTGATGCGCAAACAGGTGTTTGCTTACCAACCGTGTGTCAAGCATCTAATTAGATCCACTGCCACATCTCATTGAATACAGGTGTGGACCGTGTGGTCACATCCACGTGCTATTGCATGAGGTTGTTTGTATCCAACAGTAGGAGTGCAAGTTTGTGCACTCAATCTCCATTGACTATGCCTGTCTAGATTCCCATTTCCCGGACGACTCCGTGCATCTTCTTGCGTCTGCATGCATCACCGCCCGTGTGCATGAAGTTCATGAACCCCTCCCATCTCCTCTCACTGGCTCTCAGCCCTCAACTTAAGGCTTATAATACCCCGCTGCAAAATGTGCTGCGCACCCAAGACCTGCGCAGCGATCGCACTTGGCTTCGCCTTGCCCGCTCGTGGCGGCACTGACAAGACAGTCCCGGCAGCGATTCCAGCCCTCGTTAGGGTCCTGCCATCCACTGCCCCAAGTCCAGATGTTCCTGCCGCCGCAGTAGGTGCTGTACCACCCTCCAGCGTGTTGGAGGCAGAAGATAAGGTCTGCCTGTTCTTGCCCGTACAACTGACCCAGGTGCGAGTCAACGCACTGGTCCTGACATGTCACCATGGACACCATAGCCACGAGGACAAGAAGCACAAGAGGAGTCGGGCGAGCAAAACTCGCCTTCATTGTTGCCATCAAGGTGATGCTTACGGAGGTCGCGCACACCACCGGACGTGATCTGGACGAAGATTGCTTGACTTCGAGGTCGGGGAGACTGGACTAGGCGGTGCAGAGAGCAGTTTCTTCACTTGGAAAGTAACAGCTAAGGCCGCTTGAGCGGCTTGACAACCTGCCAAACCAATTAGGAAAGTTCGCAAAAACAGAAAAAACACAATTGTGTGAGTACAAGGACTGCAGGATACCGGCAAGAAGTCACCAACCAAGCACCCACAGGAGCAGCAGGTGGCACACGTAGTCACCAACCAAGCGCCCACAGGAGCAGCAGGTGGCACACCTTCTTGGCAGGTCGCCAAACAAATTGAACCAGCAGATAGGTCATCTGGTTTCCTCCCCGTATGTCTTGTCTGACTTGTCGTATTCGCTCTAAACTCAAAAAAGGCATCACTGCACCAGACTGTTTCGTTGGACGTTCACCCACCTACCAGGAGCTTGAACCCCAACAGTCTGCCCAGGAATCCAGGAAGGGTTTGACTGATTGAAAAGGACTCACCAGAGTCACCACATCGCCCTGAGTTCTCGACAACCCTGAGACTGGTGTCACTTGTGTGTGTGTGTGTGTGTGTGTGTGTGTGTGTGTGTGTGTGTGTGTGTGTGTGTGTGTGTGTGTGTGTGTGTGTGAATGTGTGTGGTTGTGTTTCTGTGTGTGTGCGTGTATCTGAGCCTGTGGGTATGAGGTTGTGGTTGTGGCCATGGGCCTTGCCACACCACACCCAACTTGGGAAAATTTTCGGGAGTGCTCCCGGAAGTGAAAACCCGCTTGCCTTTCGCCACACTACACTCTCGACCCGGCCGCTCTCAAATTCTGAAAATGTCATTTGCTACGTATGGACACGATCAGTGTGAAGCAGTCTGGCAGAAGTCGTTTGTCCCTTCCGGCTCCACTCCCGAATCTGGGATAAAACTCGGAGGAGTGAAGGAGGTCTCTCGAAAAAAAAGCTTTGCAGGCTGTGAGTTCGAGAGTGCTCTCGGGAGGCACATTCTGACAGCTCCCGAATTCAATCTGACAGCTTGAACTCGGGAGCTGGTGTGGCGATGCTGCACTCTTGAAAATGGCCAAGTCCGGAGTAGTGTGGCGAGGCCCCATATCTCTGTGCGCTTTGTCCCCCCCCCGGGACATGACGGGGGGCAGGCCAGTCTTTAAGTGACACCGGGCGGCCCTTGTCCACATTATATGCTGCAGCCTTCCCTTGCACATACGCTACCCTCGAGCATCTAAGTTCTGATTGGCCAGACAACCCCCCTACGTTGGATCCGAGTACGCTCCTCAGTTGCCCCTCAATCATAATTGTACAGGCGCTGCGTCCGTGCTGCACTGCCAATGAAATCCCCAGGCAGTTCGCATGCAATCCTGGTCTGATAGCTCCTGACAATTCCATAGGTGACGCAACGGATTCGGAGCAGGAGGGAAGACACGGAGCAATAGATTTCGAATTCGAAATTGAGCGCCAGGTGATATAGGGAGAAGTTAGGTGAACTACCTTTACGTGGGATGAACAAACCCCCCCCATCGTTTTCCCTGGGCACATGGTACTGGCCCGGGTTTTTGCGGGAGTTCAAAACCAAAAAGGTTTCCACGTGGGCTCTTTCCGCGATAGCTCCTGGATCAACAGATTTAGGCGGGAGGAAGAGGAAATATGGTAGGACTCAAATATGAAACGATGAGAAAGGGAGGCGCAGCTACTGGCAAAATGCTCGGTCTTTGTGTTAGCCGGACCCCCACCGGCGGCCCCACCCATCTCTGACTACCACTGTTGGGGCGGGGGGCAACATGAATTACCTCTTTTGCAAGGCAGACTGCGGCAACAGTCCGTCGGGAGACACGGTTACCAGCCCTTGTGTCATGCACACTTAGAAGTCACGACAGACTCAAAGAGCAAACCCAAAAGACAAAACAGCTCTCTTGAGCTCAACCTTCATACAAGACTGCCATCTCTCACATCGTACGCAACACTGTAGCTTGTCACCATAGCCAGTTCTCCCTCTACCATCGACAGAGCAAAATCCCTCTACCGGTTTCATCCGCTTGCTCAGCGGAATCTTCAGGAAGGTGTGCTATTGCACTTCAGTCGAAAAGAGGCCAGGTGCCTTGCCTCTCACATATTTGTACCGTGTTAACCCTCTGCGTGTCGGCGCGTCTCCTCCCCGGAAGTTCCTACTCTGGTCCCGATCCCGTTTTCGGGCCTGCTACCCGGGACCGTCAAAATAATAATAAAATAAAATAGAATAAAATGGTAAATACGGTACATACATACCGTAAGTACCAGCCGAACACCAACCAGAATTCGAACTACTACATGTCGACCCTTCTACAATGCCGACGAGTTAAGTCATCTCTCATAACGTAGGTAGACTTCAGATGGAAGTTCTCTCTCCGAGGTATCGTGTTGAGGAGGTACTGCAATGCTCTAGCTCATCTTCGCTGCGTAGTTACCGCAGGATCTGCACAAGCTGGAGCGATGGGTCTCCACCGCAGCAGGTCTTTGTCTTTCGGGATCACGTAGGTTCTCCCGAGTCGGCCGTCCGTCTTCCACTTTGCTATCGCCTCTAGCCCAGCATCCGTGTAGTCCTTCCTACACGTCCGTAGTACTTCTTCTTCGGTCATCGGTACGTTTTCGTAGTCTGTGTTCCATACAAATGTCTTTTCGAAACCGTGTCTGTATAGCACGTGACAAATGAGAGCATTGTCCCCGGGGTTACGATCTACCGGGGTCAGGACTAAGCCGTCGAACTGCCGCACCCAGGCCCGGACTTCCTGATCTGTCCATGCCTTCGTCGTAGTCTTGTGTGCGATGAGGCAGGTCCCCACCTCTATCTCCGGTGGTTTCCCCCGGAGATGCATAGTCGCCGATGTGATCGCTTGCTCAACGATCTTTCGGCTATACAGGTGGTCAGGTTTCGTCACATTTCGTGCATTCCGTACGAACTCGGGTGTCTCTATCTCTAGCAGCCTGATGAGTATGTGGTCATCGTGTTTTTTTTGCGTGAACTCTGTGCATCGACATTGGACAGCGTCCGTGTGTGCATACTTTCTGTGGTTGTGTATGATCTCCCCAACGGTTCTGTTTTTCATGCACACTACCCTAACCTTGTTCTTCACAAACGTGGCAACGTCCGAGTCGGCCACTCGGTGTCCTATTGCGGTTTCCGTAAGTCTGCGTACCTCCGCCTTGCGGATCTCTGTGCTGAACGGGTACTTAACGGTCACCTTCCTCCGAATGCTGACTCCAGTTTTCAGCCTCAGTGATCGATCGAGCTTGATCCTGAGCTTGTTTCGAGTCTCTTTCCTCCCGAATAGGCCAGCTGTCCTATACAGGCTAATCAGTCTTCTGTTTGAGTGTCGTGCTAGCGAAAACGATAGTCTAGGATTCCGTAGGAGTTTTGAAAGGAATAGCTTATTCCTTTCGGTGGTAGTAGTCGTTCTCCGAATTCTAAGGAACCGAACTTTTCCTCTTTCCTTACCTAGGTGCTTCGCTTCCTTCAGAGTGAGCCCTCGGTCTCCGTTCATGATCAGTGTGGTGCCGAACTTCGAACTGATGCTCTTCCATGAATCTGCCCAGAGTTTTGAACACCGCGTCCAGTGTTCCATTCTTCGTAGTTTGCTTTTCCTCGAGCCAGTTCAGTAGAGATGTCCGCACTCCCTCGGAGGTGTGGAATTTTACTACCGATTGGCCCTTCGTCTCCTGTGTCATGTGATCCTCTTCTCTTCCGTTCTCTCTTCCCCTTCCGTCTCCGTGAGCTCTTGGCTAGTCTCCTGCTCGTCCCCGTCGTGTTGAGGCTAGGGCAGAGGTCGCGGATAAGGTGCCGCTCGAATGCGAAGTCATCGTCTGTGGTGGTATGTCTGAGCGGTATGACAACAAACTTGTCGATGCCGAAGGTTCGCATCCATCGGTGTAGCTGCGTTGTCCTTCCCTTCGCTCCTGACTTCGCCGTTAGCAGGTGTTCGCGCCACCTGTGGATGATCGGTCTCGTCGTGCAGCCCACGTAGATGCGCCTAGACCATGGGCTCGCGATCACGTACGTACCGCCGGTCCGGAGCTCCAGGGTTTCGTTGCTGACGTCCACCTTGTCTAGGTACTTTGTTAGCCACCGTATCTCGCCCCTCATGCCGAGCAGCAATGTCGTCGTTGACAATCTTCGTTCGATTTCCGTATCCTCCTCGCCCGTTCTTCCCGACCCCCGTACGGTTCGTCGGCGCTCGAGGTCTTCTCTGAGAGATTTCTAGAGCACCACTACCGTAGGGGGCGCCGCAACGGCTCGCAAGTCAACCCGATCCCAGGTCAGCATCGGTAGCTGCGGCCGATCGGAGGATGGTTCGTGGAGCTACAAACAGCTTACTTTTACCTCGAGTGCTTATCGTCGTCTTAACTACTGCAGGCGGTGTCTTGTTCTGTTTCTCCCCTTGTGACATCTTCTCCTCCTCCTGGCCGGTGTGATCGTCAAACAGTCCTTCGTACGCTTTCTCCGTTTGCTTTCTGACCAGCTCTGCGACCATATCGCTCTTCTTCGTCGATCTTATGCCTTCTTTCGCACACAGTTCTCTCAGTTGGTCCACCTTCTTTGCTGAGTATTGCCTTTGTACCGCCAGAGTGTACTGCAACATGCCTTCTCGTGAACAGCCCACTGCTATGCCTTTGTAGCCTGCCGTGAGTGGTGTCCTTGTTTCGACGTCGTCGGTAGGTTCGCCGGTTCGTCTGGAGCATTCTCCTTTTCGGTGGTTCTCCCGCTGGTTCTGGAGGGTTTCGCCCTCGTTTGTTTTTTCTTCTTCGACTTCCATTTCCTCCTCTGAGTCCTCTCGTCCCATATCTTCCTTGCGATTGTAAGAATCTCCTCGTCTGTATCTTTACTTGATTCGCTGGAGGTGGAGCTCTCTCTGCCATTCGAATCTGAGCTCGTTGATGACTCGACCAGCCTCTTGGCATGCCTGCGTTTCTTGTCGTACCTGCTCTCTCTCTTCTTCGGCTTTGTCTTCGTGATCGTTACACTCTGTGGAGAAACCTTCGGACTGGTGTTCTTCAGAGTCACCGTACTAACCGCCTTCTCCATCTCTTGCTTCGCCTCTTGTTGTTGTTTGTGTTGCTGCCTCCACTTCTCTTCGATTTCTGCCTGTAG